GGGAGCACTGTCAGACCAGCCTGGTCTTGAGCAGTGCACTTACCCCCTTTGAGCCAACAAGCTCCCTCTCCCAAGGCCCTAATGGGTCAGACAGATCCCCTGGCATGCAACTCACACAGGCAGGGGCCTCTGGTCTCTCAGCCACCCGAAGGGTGGTCCTGGATCAGGGCTTTGACAGCAGTGAGGGCCAGGCTCAGGTGTCCCCTCCCACCACTCTGCCACTGACCTCAGCAACAAGCCCCCGTCCCCACCTTCTGGGAAGAGAGGTCACTCAAGGCAGCCAGCGTGCTTCTACATCCAGTTTATACACAGCTCTATACAATATACAGAAACCTTTATATACAGATATATTTATAGAATAAGCTATATTAATTTGTTTTTCCTTTTTACAGCAATATTAGTTTGGAACTTTCATACATTGAGTACAAAAAAAGGGGAGAATGGCACATAGAGTGCATGAGCGTCGTGGGCCCGGCTGCTCGCTCTCAATTGCATATGGAGGTCACCCAGGCCCCTGCGAGGATGGGCCAGCGAACGGCTGGGAGAGCTTGTGCTGCGGGTCTGGGGGACAGAGTGGGGGTCAAGCTGAGCCGAGCTGGGCTGAGGGGGGTGGCTCAGACCCCCCCCAAGTGTGATGTGGGAGGAGGGGAGAGACACGCAGCAGGCCCACCCTTCAGGTGGGGCAGGTTAGGGGTGGGCTGACCCTGGGGCATCCCGGGCTGAGTCCAAGTGTGCCCCGGCACCAAGCCTGTAACCCTGTGTGGCTGCAGCCTTGGGGTGGGGAGTCTGTCCCTGATGGCTCAGTCCTGGGCATGGGTGGGCACTATGCCCCCTTAGAGGTCTCAGGCCCACCTCAGCAGAGGAGGAATTAAAAGGCCAGACCGAAACTCTCCCTGCTATTGGCCAGGATGCTTGATGGAACGTTACTCTGATTTATGATTTGTCTAGGAGCCACTGATTTGTCTTGCTTCTGTGCTAGGCCCAGGCTATGCCAGCAGTGGGGCCCTCAGCAGGGGCAGGGGCCTGGAACCTGGTGAGAAGTGGGAGTCACAGAGGGAGGGAGGCCCAGCTCCCTCCAGTCTCTGTGCCCATCTGTCAGGGTGGGCAGGGGTCCCAGGGCAGGTTCTGGGCCAGTCCCAGCTGTGTGTGGGGTTGGGGTCAGGGTCAGGGCTCAGATACAGTGATCATAAGATAGGGGTCCTTGGTCAGGGTAGCCTAGCTCACTGGGAGACCATGGGCAGTGCCGGGG